AAACAAGCCAATTCACTTCGTGAACTCGGCAACCAGGTTGCCGTTGTTTTTTTTTACCTCCGTTGTTTTTTTTTGGCGGTAACCATGAACGGTGGTCGAGTAGATCATGTTGTGCGGGGTGAACCCTCACTCCGCGCAAGGGGGATGATCGCACCACGTTGTGTTAAAATGGTCAAGCACCCTCGAGGCAGTTACACAGTGCTTACAACTGCCTCTGGAAGTGAAAGCACCAGAAAATAAATCAAGTCATACGCAGCTGTCATCCGTACGCAAGGAAGTAAGCACAAGATACCGAACACCTTTGGCAGGATGCAGCGCACCCTTCATGCGACTCGCCGAATACCTCACGACGCTTCGCGCTTGGTGATGTGAGAGCCTGGTCCGGTGAGAACCCGGCGTGCTCCGTCCCGGCTTTGTAGGGATGCGAGCCCAATGGTCTAACGACTACGACGTGCACGACTATGAGTACACCCCCCCCCTATAGGCCCAGAAAATATGTCCAGTTCAGGGAAGCACTTTGCAGAACGGACGCACTGACTAGCTCGCGACCGCAGCAAGCCATTGGTTGGACTTAATATGTTGGAGGTACTTTGCAGGGGTCACAACGATTCTCCCTGTGCGTGGAGGCAACAACAACGGCAATGACGAACACGATACACTAGTGGCCCCGTCATGTTGCCCGTGGGATCCAGCCGATTTCACCGGCATTATAGCGGGCAACCGGCAATATACAGGGAAACCGGCACTCTACCGTAATCACTACTGCGGTACCCTCTTGACGCCCCCTCTCGAATATCCGGGCGGCGCGCGCAAATGAACGCAATTTCGTTGAAAATCCCGGGGATGAGGACCTCGTGTCCCCCCAGTTCCGGGACACGTCCTCCTTTTCCCCGGAAGTTGTATCAAACCTCAACTTATTCATCCCCCAGGGGTATTTAGACCCGTGCCCCCCCCCCCCCCTCCCCCCCCCTTCTTGACCAGAGTATCTGTGTAGTACAGGGGTGCTCACCTTTTGGAGGACCCCTCGATACAAACAAACTTCTCCCTCGAAGCCACCCCATCCCCAACACCGCCACCCCCCGCCACAAACCACAACAATAACAGACCGCTCAGAAAGCCGCGGGGAAAGCGAAGGCGAATCGGCCTCGAACCTCCGCCGTCGCCGATGTCAACGTCGCGGCTCCGCGGTCCGCTGGCGCGGCAGCGGAGCCCAAGAAGGCAGGGGACGGCGAGTCCCCGTCCCCTGCCTCCGCCCCGGCGGAGAAGGAGCAAAGCACGCCCGCGGAGCAGCTAGCGCCGGGGCTTAAAAGAGGGTTCGGGGGCACGACGTACAAGCTCGTCGAGAGCGGGGCTTTCGAGATCTCGGACCACACGACGGACAGAGTCAGGCAGACACCGACGCCGCGCACGCTGGTCGTGACGGTCATTCTCCCCGCGGATGCGGTGAGATTTGTTTCTTCGAAATTTAGGGGGGGGGGGGGGGGGG